AATCTCTCTCTGAACATGTTCTAAAAAGCCTTCATAAGTGGAAAACAGTGGGGTGAAGAGAGAGAGAGAACTGACTGTTTCATCTCATGACTTTGAATTCTGTTTCATCTCTTATTTGCAATGAATGCGACTTGAACTGAATCTCCAGTCTGAGTGTTTTGAGGAAATGATATTGCAGAAATAGATCTGAGGACTATGCTAAGGTTCAGTAGTACACTTCAGTAGGCTCTCTTCTGAGAGCACAGATGGCAAAAGAAATTGTATTGAACTTGTGAGCTTGGGTGTGTGTATCATTGGGTGCTTGCTTGGAAAATGTAGGATCTTCAGTGACTTCGGTCTCTGTGTGCTGTTGTGTTTTTTGTAATAGGCATGTAGCAATTGAGAGCTCTCCAGAGTGCTTTCAGCCACCTTGTGTCTCACCTTCCTCCTGGCATAAGGATGGTGCAAGCAAACCCGTCCTTATGTCAGGAGGACAGTTTGAGAAAGGCATGCGGAGGCTGAGAACCCTCCAGAGCACTCTCAGCTGCCACCTGTTCTGCCCTCCTTCTGGCATAATGCCAAGAGGACAGCCCAAAGCTCGGGGGGGGGGGAGGATGGGGTGAGGATTCGGGCAATCCCCACATGTTCCGCCTTCCTCCTGGCATAAGGGTGGGGCAAGTAGCCCATCCTTATATTGGGAGCACAACCTGAGGATGACCCAGGCCTTGTCCTGCCCCCTCCTGGTCCCACCTCTCTTGACCTCACCCTCTCCCAGGCCCTGCCCTCTCCTGGGCTCTCCCTACCCATCGTGTGCCTGGCTTCACTCTATCCTGGATGGGCCCGCAATGCGGCCCCAAGGCAAAACACCTCATCCATCTAATCTAATCCCACTTCTCTCTCAATATTTGCTTCAAGGTAGCTAAATAATCTTATTTTTTACCCTCCCTTTTATTATTAGTCCTTGGTCCTTACAACTATCTCTCTAAAATTTTGGAATTTTCTTTCTTAGGGCCAGCTCCATATGATACTTTATTTTAATATACATTATTAAAAACCATATCGAGTGGGCTAATAGGAAGGAGATCATTTGTTTCTCATAAAAATTGAATCAAGCATTTCCTTTGTACAAAACTGCTGCAGCGATACTTATGATTTTTTCATGTTTCTTAATGAGAAGGACTTACTGTATGTGTTGTTTGAAATTTTCATAATGGTTTTATAAAACTGTAGGAGTGATGCTAAGAATGTTCTGTTTTGAAAAACCTTCAATGTTATGAATTATTCTAGTTTCTCTAAAACCTAGAGAAACTAGAATAAAAGGGGATGGTAGCAGCTAGATGACACTTTCAAAAAATGCTCACTGAATCAAATCATTGACTAAAAACAATGGGTTAAAAAGGTGCACTTAAAATCTGAGATTGGCCAAAAATGCACATATTTGCGTCACTGCATATTTCTGCACTCAGGAAAAACACTGGACTCTGTTACAATACACTGGTGTGGACTGCTCCAACACATGTGTACATTTTAAAATCCAGAAAGAGCTGATGATGGTTGTAAACAGATAGAGCTATGGACACACAGGTGGCTAAATGGAAACATGAATTAAAAGCAATTCCCATGAGAACTCGCTGAAACAATTCCCTTGTTCTCATATTTATTAAATTAAGTAAGGGTAAAGGTTTCCCCTTGACATGATGTCTAGTCGTGTCTGACTAGGTGGTGGTGCTCATCTTCATTTCTAAGCCAAAGAGTTGGCGTTGTCTATAGATACCTCCAATGTCATGTGGTTAGCATGACTGCATGGAGCACCATTACCTTCCTGCTGGAGCGGTACCTATTGATCTCCGCATATTTGCATGTTTTTGAACTGTTAGATTGGCAGAAGCTGGGGCTGACAGCAGAAGCTCACCCTGCTCCCTGCTGCTCCACCAGGGCTTGAATTTACACAGTGGGCACCAGCATGGTATGTAACTGATCCCAAAGGAAAGTAGGGTTTAAGAGGGCAAACGTAAAAACATCAGGAAGATGAGGAGAGATAATGACAAGAAACCTGCTTATGTGCACATTCATATATCTGCATCAGCACTTATGAGGTCTAGACACATCTTTGAGTGTCAATAAAAAAATTAAAAGAAAACTTCTGGTGGATATCCAGTGTCCATTTTGCAGATTTCTAAACTCTACTACAAACAAGCCTTTCAGCACACCAGGGGACTATTTGCCTGGACTTGCAGTTTCGTGTTTAGACTTGTTTTCAGATACCACATTTTTTAAACCCACTTATTTGTCCCACATTATGAGGCTGTCTGGAAGGGTCCTCAGAAGGAGCAAACACTCCTCTGAAACTTTCATCCAAATAAACCAAGAAATACAAAGAGTTCACAACAGTACTCCATCCCTCTTTTAAAAAAATCCAAATCTAAGCCATGTAGCAGACAAATCATTGTATCTGTTTGTACCTAATGTGACATATTGAATCCCTTCCTATGGGGTTTCCATGCTGGCAAATTTCATTTTGATAAATAGAAAATAGCTGTTGATTTACAAAATTTCTCAAAAATGCAGCTTTTTCTGAATAATAGTCAACAGAAGCCACAAAGATATAGATTTCCAAATGAAAATTCAGATTAATATGTAAAAAGATTCATGCAGCCTTTGAAACAATCTGAGCTGAATTGAACCCTTATAGAAATCACAGTATGCATATCTTGAACCAACTCTTGTGGTTGGATTCAATGCCCATCATATCCCAGTATACTGCGAAATGAATATTTTACATAGATATTTTTATGCTTAAACGAAAAATAATGTGTAGTTAATTGACCTGAGCAAAAATGGTTCATCATTTTTCATACCTTCCAATGCAAATTCAGTACTTTTAACCGAAGGCCTCACACCTTGATTTATAGCTTCCCATAAAGTAAGGCTGCAATCCCATGTAAATGTATAAGAGAGGAGCCCCCATATCTCTGTAATAACTCACTCTGAATTAACGAGTGTAGTCTTGGGCTCTAAATTATGTAGATTAACATGTGAATACTGTCCTTTCTATGGAAAGTGGATGCACATATTGTTATATGCGTACTGCAGATGAAATATAGTCTGAAGTAAAACAAGTGTTTGGGAGAGTAGGTTTTCCATAAAGCTTCAGCATACTTTGTTTTGAAATTAAATAGAAGATTTTCCTACCTTCATCGCATCTAATCCTTCTCTCTGCTTTCTTTAAGATTTATCCATTTGATTTGCTATCACACAGTAAATTCTTGCTTTTCTCCACTGTTCCTCCCTATTTTCTTTTCTTTTTAAAACTTTTCTCTTTTTCAGGAATTCAATTTACAACCCGAAAAACAACAACATATATAGAGAGGTTGCATTCTTAGGAGAGGGAGTGGGGAAATGAAGCTTTAGCTCTCTTAAATCTCTCTCTGCTGTCCTTTTGATAGGCAAAAGCAGCACAGCAGGAGTTTCAGGCAAGAGTTCACAAGAACTTTTATGACCCGACACAGGAAGAGGGAGCTTGGTAAGGTTACAGAGACACAAAGCACAGGATGTGCATGCTTGCTATTTTCACCTGAATGTTTTCAATATCTTGTTTGCTATACCTCCTCAGTCCCAAAATGGCAATGGCAGCAGAAAGGACACTGCCCATCGTGGCTCCTCCCTGCACATCATCATCATCATCATCATCATCATCATCATCATCATCATCATATTTCTTTACAAATGGGCAAAGAGGGATTCCCATCATATGTTAAGTTGGGTGTTTTTACAAGTCTTTATGCAGGGAACTGAGGCAAAAGTCACTTGCCAATTGACTCAGGAATCGTGGGGAAAAAAACCACACTTTAGAAGCAACAAGATACCTCTGCCCCTCATTTGAAGCTTGTGTCGTGTGAAGGGCACCATTGGTGGCAGTTTTTTAAGAATGTAGAAATGCTTATTTAATTGTGTGCAATGAAGTCACCAATCACATCCTTCATCCAGGGAGAAAAGAGCACTGTTTCCTTTGTTTCCTTTGTGGCCAGACTAAGGAAGAGATAGGGAAGAATCTGATTCAAAGCCCAAACAGACATGCAGTTCACTAAAGATGGAAAGAATACTTTAAAATATTTTCTAAAATTGTTGGAAAGAAACATTTAAAAATGCTGATAAACCAGATATGATAATCTTCACAATTTGAAACCTATTCTGAGAAAAAATTATACATGGTTATTTTGCACTTTAAGATCATGTGTGAAATTTATGCAGAATACATGTCCAACTATAAAATTTTCTGTGCAAAAAGAGTAGTCTCTGCACAGAAAGTAAAATTTCTATACAAAAAGATAAGTTCACCGATTAATGGGGATTTCTGCACAAAAAATATCTTATACAGAAAATAATGAGACAGAAAGTAAGTCCCCACCTGTGAATATTTTTTAAAAACTGTACAGTCTTCAAACAAGTTGTTGCGATGAGAAGAAAATTGCTCGAATTACTCATTATATACTTGTAGAACATAGTTATTGAAGAAATACATGCCTACAGCTCACTAGGGGATCCCATAGTAGTAAATTCTCATCTCACCATAACGTAAATTTTGGTAAAGTGAAAAATATATATCAGCAGACAACCTTGTTATTTTATTTTACAAAGGTGGGACTTTCTTTTCCTGAAATTCATTTTCAAAACATACTTATTTTTTTATTAAATACTTTTTATTGTATTAAACCTTGAAAAAAAAGAAAGAAAAAAGAGCATCGAAAGAGTGGGAACAATTTTTGAATAATGTTCTAAATGTTTTTAGAACATTTCCCTCTCAAAGAATTGAAGGGAATAAAAAATCAGTCAATAAAAGAGCATTGTGAACTCTTGATTGAATGTAATTTACAGTGATTTTCCTAATACCATTTACTGCCTGAGAAGCAGTTACTATTTTTTTTTAAATCAGGAAAAAAAATCAAATAACTGGTCAAGAGGTTGTGAGTGACAGAAATAAAGGCAGGTTACAGAGAGATCAGGGAGGACTTGTATCTCACCTCTTAGCCGATAATAAGCTTGATGGCTTGCTAAAATCTGCTTCACTGACTCTTGAGGGCAAACCTTCACTCCAGTTGGGAAGAAAGAAGACCTTTTTGTTCGATGTTTGGCCATATCAAATATCCTGCGGATAGTTGATACTCTAGACCTCTTTGTAGTTCTTTCTGACTTATCAGACCCGGAAGTATCTGCAAGAAGTTTGGCTTCATCGCGATTAATTTTATTTGGAGTTTCTGCAAGGGGAGAGATGAAGATAAACATTCAGTTAACTGCTAAACAGAAATCAGTTTCTGATATATTTTTTTCTTCTCCTAAAGTGTAGATTAAAACTATGAAATAACAATGACACAACAAAAGACAATTCACTCCTTTTGTAAAGGCCCAGGTTCTGAATACAAGAGTTAGGAATAAATTTCCTTTCAGGTCAAAGCCCCAAATGAGAAATAGAAAACCTCAGAACTTGAGTTAAAGGCCCCATCTGCACTGCCATTAAATGCAGTGCAGATGCAGATTGACTGCATTTAACTGGAGTGTATGGTGGTGTACACTCATATCACCATGTAGAATAATCATAGGATGTCTCAAACCTACACCTGTTGATAGACTCTGTAAGCTAGGTGGCATTGTCTCCCCCCAATTGTGCGACGGGGAGTTGCTGCCAACTGTGAGTGAAATAAGATTGAACATTGTGAAAGCTACCCACTGTATGGCTATCAGCCTCCTCCCAGTAGATTCGAATCAAGGAGAAATTTCATGAGAACCACCACTCCTCTTAATTTTCCCCCAGCAACTGCAAGAGTATCCCTCTTGGCAGCTAAACCAAGAAATCCCAACTGGATATCCCCCCAAAAGGGTCTTTCTCTGGGGGCAAACCAAGAATGGGCAACCTGGAAGTCCCTGAACAGACTCAGAAGTGGAGTGGGAAGATCAAAAGACAACCTGGCTAAATGGCACTACCTAGAAGAATCCTCCACCTTGTGCAACTCTGGAGCAGAACAAACAATTCAGCATCTGTATGCCTACCCACAATGCCCTGCCATATACACAGACAATACTGTCCCTGTTGCCCGGTTTTGATCAAAAATTATTTAGCCGCTTGTGCTCCCTCTATTTTATCAGTTTTATATTAATTTATTTATGCAATGCTTTGACACGAAATAAATAAACTCATATAATCCAGTTCAATCTGCATTATATGACTCTACATTGCCATATCATGCAGTTCAAATTGCATTATATGGCAGTATAGATGGGGCCCAAAGATCCTTTCAGTCTATACACTTCTAGAGTGATGATTCCACTTTGACTGCCATGGCAATTTTCTACAGAATACTGGGATTTGCCATTTAAGGAGGGGTCTTTAAAATTCCCACTAGTGCAGTGGTTCCCAACCTTTAGCCCTTCAGGTGTTTGCCAGCTCTTAGGAATAGTGGGAGCTCAAGTCCAAAACACATGTAGTACTAAAGGTTAGGAAACACTGCATTCGTATCTCTGACCTAACTATTAACTCCAGGATTTATTTATTTATTTATTTATTTATTTACTCCTTTTGTATACCGCATTTATCAGCCTTACGGCGACTCAATGCGGTTTACAGTAAAAATATACAACACTGACAATATATAAAACAGATTCCACAGGTAATGGAACCAGGCAGTTAAAGAGGGATATTGTTGTTGTGGTTAAAGGTCTTCAAGTTGACTTTAGCTTATAGTGACCTTATGAATGAGAGACCCCCCCCCCCCCAAGGCACCCCATTATCAAGTGCCCTGCTCAGGACTTGCAAACAGGGGTTTGGTTTCCTTAACTAAATCTACACATTTATAATGGGGCCTTCCTCTTTTTCTACTGCCTTCTATCATCAAGAATTATTGTCTCTTTTTTTTTGAGTGAGTCATTTCTTCCCATGATATGTGCAAAATATGGCAGTCTGATTAGTCATCTTGGCTTCCAAGGAAAGTTGAGGCTTCATTTGCTCTAAGACAGGGGTTCTCAAGCTTTTTAAGCCAAGGTGCAGTTCACGGCCAAAAATATAATATTTAAAATGAAGAACAATTTTAACCAAGATAAACTTATCAGTATTTCAATGAGAAATATGGGCCTCCTTTTGGCTGATAAATTAGGCAAGTTAATTACAATTGTTGTCGTTGTTTGCCATTAAGTTGCTTTAGACTTAAGGTGACCCTAGATTTAAAGTTTAGGTTGGGGACTGAGTAAATGATCTTGGAGGGTCACATTTGACCTACTGGTCTTAATTTGGGGGGCATTGCTCTAGGACCTTTTTCTTTTGTCTTTAAACATGCTGTCTATCTATAGAACTGTTTTCCAGCACCATATTTCAAATTAATTGATTTTCATCCTATGAACTTTCTTTACTATCCAGCTTTCATAATGATACATAGAAATGGGAAATACAATTACATTGACATTTTTTTACTTTATATATTTTTATACTTCAGGCTCTTCTCTAGTTTCTTTATAGCTGCTCTTCCAAGTTCCAATCTTTCTCTGATTTCTTGAACGTGGTCTCCATTTTTATGAATGATTGAAAACCTTGATCTATTTCACTGATTTTATAATTTATTATAGCCAGGGCCATAGCCGGAAAAAAATGGGGATGGTGGTAGGGTTGAAACTTTTTTTTAGAGAATCATGAAGAGTAATTCCATAACACAAAATAATTTAAATACTATGGTTCATTCTATATTTTTATATAGAGTTAATTTAATCAATTTTCTATTTTAGTCACAAAGTTTCAAGTCTTAAAATAACTGAAAATGTCTTTTAATTGATAACCACAACATCTGTTGGAAACACTTGAAAACTGTGTCAATACACTTTGACATAAATCAGGGTCCATCGGGGTCCATCGATAAACTTCAGTGAACACTCAAGAGTGCAAGTCCAGTCAGTCTTCTTTTGCCCCATTGTGCTTCTTATGCATGTTTTCAAACATTTAAGAATTAAAAATGACCTATATACACACACTCTTTAAATTGGCATATCTAAAAGTCAAGATCAATGACCCATACGTATTATCAAAGTTTTAGAAACTACATAAAATATCTTTAATCTGGTACCTAATAATTCAAAAATTACTTGATAGTAAATATAAACTCTTAAAGCAAGCACAAATTATCACAGTTGTTATATACCTGGAAGCAAGTGTATCTGAATCTAAGTTTTTCTCATGGAGTTTTTGGGGATTACAATCCACCACTATTGTTGTGTTCTTCATGTTCAGCTGCAAACCTGCAATTGCACTTTCTTGACCTTCTTTAGTAAACATTCTAAGTCTAGGCTATTTTGTGGAAGTAATATGGTAATACCTGCACATCTACAATTGTTGATGTTTCTTCCACCATTTTTCACATGTAGTTTCCCTGATTCTAATCCTGTTTTATACATTGTATGTTTATCATGCATGTTAAATAAACAGGGTGACAAAGTGGGATGAGAATATTATAACTGTGTAATGTAAAAGGGACACAAATCTAAGCCTTTGGGAAAGAACAGATGGCCATGGCACCTTTCTCATGATATTTTTGCCTTGCTTATGTAGATGAATTAACTTTTCTCCCTGCTTCAAGAAAAAACAAATATTATTTTGCAGTATTTTTCCCAATGAAAAGCATGGACTTCTTGCAAAAATCTGTTTTCTGTGCAGAAAAGAAAGTTTCCTGCATAGAAAGCAAGGAATTTGGTGTGTATAGAAAGCTGGTGAAACTCCCCTACCATTTTTGTACAGAGAATAACTTTTCTGCAACATTTCATAATATGAACTAGCAGGAGAAATTTTTGTAAAATTCTTGCAGTTCTATTTTTCTTGACAGGGTTTTCCAACTTTTTGACAAATCTGTTTTTTGATCTGGGCAGAATATTGAATATTCTTTACATTTCCACGTGATTTTGTTACTTCCCATATAGAACATAATATCTCCCCAAATTATAAAAATGTGAAATACCTCTTGTCCATCTTAGCTAGTATCAGCAAGAGTTTTCAGTTAAAAAGTGTTGGTGTTTCTGGTTCTATAGTTTTGGCTTTGTTAACACCTAACCTTAGAATGCACTTCTGATAAATTTTCTAAAATTAAATTCGCTCCTGGAGGTAAAAGAGGTTTTCTGTTTCTTTCAACTGGAACAGCTTGTTTGTTGTCTTATTCTACTATTTCAGCCAGGATGCCTTGCTTGAGTCATATGAAACATTTTAAACATATTTCACTTCCCAAAGTGCCTGTTTTGTATGCTTATAACATTAGCATACAACATAGGTTCTTGAACATACCTGGGGATTGTGAGATTTTGCATATTTGAAAGGGGACACATCCACAGGTTGTGACAGGTTTACAGTGCTTTAATTACCATGAATATATCCTATGGAATTCTAGTATTTACATTTCCATTACTTATAGACATCAGAATGTTCTGGCAGAAAAATCTACATAACAAACTACAAATTTCAAACTTTTAAAGGTTGGGGTAGTCTTTGTTAAAGTGGAAAAAATATAACCCTGTGCTTCAGCTACACCATATTACTACCCCACTCCCCATTGCTCCAATAGACATTTCTTCAGTGGACAAAAGCCCCCTGTCTCTTTTTATTAAAATGCACATGTTTTGTTTTTTAAAAGTGGCTGGGAATGGAGCAAGGTTGTCCAGTAAACACATACTTATGCACAATTGTTGTAACTGAAGATGGTAGATGGGTGAAGTTAGTATATTTTGTTGTATGCAAATCCCGGGTTTTCCCAAAATATTACTTGGCCACAGAATAGTAGGCACAGTCAGGAAAGGACAAAATGAGCAGAAGAAGGATGCAGGACATAACAACCTGGAGGTGGCATGGAGAGAATCAAAAGTGCAGTGAGATGAGGATGAAGGCAATAAAGAAAAGCAGAGTGAATAAATTGCAGAAGCTGAGAAAGTGGGGTGGCAAGGGAGTCAGAAGAAATAGATAGCAGGATTTGAGAGTGTGAAAGAATGGTTTGTGTGTGTGTGTGTGTGAATGGGGGAGTGGAGAGTAATTGCATGGACAAGTTGGAATGGGAAGAGAAAAGCAAGGAACCCACATACATACAGGCATAGGTGACAGGTTGGGGATAATTTGTCATAGGGCATCCCAAAAACCCTATTAGGGTCTTTCTACAGTGCCATATAATCCAGATTATTAAATCAGGTAATCCACGTATTCTGTTTTGAACTGGATTATCAGAGTCAACACTGCCATATAATC